CCAGCCGCAAGCCTTGGGTGTGCGGTTCCCACCCAGGCTCTGATGGTACACCTTGCCAAGGTTCCCTGCCCTCTTCTCAGGCGGCAGGGACCAGGCTGGGAAGAGCCCTGAAAGGTGCAGGTGAACCAGGAGCTCAGTGGCATCCCCAGATGCTGCTGCTCGTGCTGGATAAGCAAGGAGATGGGATGGTTTTCCTGCTCCTTACACCTCTCCCAGTCCTGAGCAGCAGCTGCGGGGTGCAGAGACCCTCCGACACCACAAGCCCATCGCTACATGCATCCTTGGCCTCTGCCCCACACGGTAAGGTCTCTCCCAAATCCCTTTTCTGCTTCTGGAGAAGTGTCCTCCTCTTCTATGCATTGATGTCCTGAGCCTGTTTTATCTTGTAACACTGGATAAGGTGCTGGAGCATTGAGATTCCGGTACAACCCAGCAGCCATGAGCAAATCACTGCACCTATGGGGACCCTTCCCTAAGAGAAAGGACTTTTACATGGAGGAACACAGCTAAGGACAGCAGGAACCCACCTTTGGCCAAAACACCCAGCTCTCATTGCTATTACACAGCTTTCCGGACCCAAACCTTGAGCTCGTTACGCAGGCAGAGCTCCAGCCAAAGGCCACCTTTCATTTTACAGAACAAAACTCCCAGGCTGCCAAAAAAGACCTCACAGCGTCCTATGAATCAACCTCGTTCCCAGTAGAGCTGTGGAAACTGGTATTCGGTTTTGGCGGGGGCAAGGGAGGGTCTCAGCCCCAGGTTTGGCTGTGCCTGGTGCCACATTAACGCGATGGAGGTGGCACCTCCAGACCCGCTGCACGCGCGCCCCCGATACAGCTGGGAAAACGCTGCATGAATGAACTGCGCCTTAGAATAGATTATGGGAAAATTAGTCTTTGATGATGCTGTCATTAGCAGTAGCTCCGTAATGTGTTTGCGTAAGGGCAGGAAGGAAATTAAGCAGGCTAGTTAAGGATGAAATAGTTCCCATTTCCCCGCGTTAGAGCCTGGCAGGGTTTTGGCTGAGGCAGAGAAAAATTTCAGAAGCGTTTGGGAGCTGAAGACCAGGGCGTGATCCTTCACACGTACACCAGTTTGATCACCATGATTCCTCCTGCTGCTGCTGCGCCCCAGGGAAGCGGAGCCCAGCTCAGTGGCACGGGGTCCCCACGGGGGGGGGGGGGGGGGCAGGGGAAACCCCACGGGGCCACAAAA